CTGCAAGCGATGGTGTCTAAGGTCTGCGCTGGCCAAATAGAAATGGGTGTGTCTTCTTTTCAGTGTTTTTTGGGTGGTTCTAAAGGGAAGCCAAAAAGCAACTCCGGCAAGGCCCAACCCTAGCACACACAAATGGACATTCCACTCCTCTGCCATACCTCAAAGACCCTTCTCAAGCCGCCCAAGGTATTCTCCAACCTTCCCCCCCCCCAAACGCAGCAACCCAGCAACGTTCTGCAAGCCGCCAGACCCGCCGGGAAAATCCGACACCTGGGACAAAGGTTCCGGAGCCCGGACCGTAACCTTTGCTGATTGGAACCTTGGACCGGAATACGATCTGTGGAATCGGAACCCTCAGGAACTCTACCTCACTACGGAGCCCAGAGCTCATTTGGGCACAGACTTCGTAGCTTTCAGCTGAGAAAAAGACATGAGGTATAGAATGAGGGGTTCCCGGGTGATCGAAAAACAAGTCCCGCGACGACTTCTTTCTCAAAATGGTTGAAACACCAAGAACGACCTGCACCGTTCCCGTAAGCAGAACACTTGCCCGCTCAGATCCTTTCATGTGGGAATGCTGCGCTGCTCGGCTCTCCGCTTTTCTGAATTGTCTGCTCTCGTGTTGAGAATGTCGAGGGAAGCTTCGCGCAAAGGGGCGGCAGAACAGGCAACGCACGAAACTCCGCCGGAGCGAAATTCTGCTTGCGGCTAACCTAAACGCAAGGAACCAACCAAATGCCCGCCCTTTGCTAGCTGCCGGACGAGATGCACCACACCAAACTGCCAATCTGTGTATTGTGCAGAACGAAATTGGTGCGCTGCGAATGAAATTCTGCAAGCTGGTGCGGAACTCGTACGGCTCTAAATGCCGCGTGCTCTTGCTCAGGCCTGAATTCGTGAGACTGAACCATTAAGCCCAGTGGAAGCCGAATTGGACAACAAGCTCTCTTGGCCCTTGCGTCTTGTGGCCCATTCGAATAAGAAGCCAGAATTTCCGTGCGCTAGGAAACATGTACCATGGTTTCCCGTTTGGGGTAGCTTGGAGGGGGGCCGTCGACCGGGACCGACTACAAGATCTACATGCGACAGACCCATCACTCGCTTTGCGATCCCCAGCTCTCAGAGTTTTGGTTCCTGCAAGTGGATCCATGAGGGCGAAAAATCGGAACGGTGACACGTCCTATGATACCAAAAGATTCGATGAGCACCAAAAAATTACCGATTTCCCACGACCACGATTGGATCTGTTCAATAATCCATTCGACCGGGTAGCAAAACTGTCTGCTCTTTCCAACCCCCTTTCAAGATTAGCACAGCCAAAGAAGCGCAGCCATTTTCTGGCGTCCATTTGCAAACAAAACCAAGAACTCGCCAAACTGAAGTCACGGGGATGCCCTTTAGCTGAAATGCCCGATTTTCTTTCGGGGAATCTGCAAGTTCTAGCCTTTTGCAACACGGAAGTGCCATCATTCCACAGGGGCCTACAAGAAGCCCTCGGCGTCTGTGACGGAAGCAAACCAATCTCAGCTTCCCACGTCTGACTCTCGTGTTTAGTTGTGAAGACCAAGCCAGGATGTGTTTTAGCTACTTGAGCCTAGACATTTGGAATGGGTTTGCGGGGCACTGCAAAATCAAAGAAGCAAATTCCTGCGGCCCTTATGTTATACCGAAAAAGGCTGGTGCATCAGGAGATCGCAGCGATGGCCTACTCGGAGCAGCTCCCGCTATCTCTCACGGGTCAGGCTCGTCGTACCTGCCACAGGCGTTTGCGCGGCTGTGAATTTGTTTATGTTTGTTTTCGGGTGTGTGCGGGTGTGCGCCGGTGTGTTTACGGATTGAGCGTGTGCGCGTGCGAGCGTGTGGACGTGTTCGCGTGCGTGTGCGTCTTTATTTGCGTCCTTTTTTCCTTTCTTCCTTTCTTTCTTTCTTTCTTTCTTTCCTTTCTTTCTTTCTTTCTTTCTTGCTTTCTTGCTTTCTTCCTGTCTTCCTTCATGCCTTTCTTTCTTTATTTCTTTCTTTCTTTCTTTCTTTCTTTCTTTCCTTTTCTTGATTTCTTTCTTTCTTTCTTTTGTTCCTTCTTTATTTCTTTCCTTTTCTTGATTTCTTTCTTTCTTTCTTTTGTTCCTTCTTTATTTCTTTATTTCTTTCTTTATTCCTTCCTTTCTTCCTTCCTTTCTTTCTTCCTTTCTTTCTTCCTTCCTTCCTTTCTTTCTTTCTTCCTTCCTTCCTTTCTTTCTTCCTTCATGCCTTTCTTTCTTTCTTTCTTTCTTTCTTTCTTTCTTTCTTTCTTTCCTTCTTCCTTTCTTCCTTTCTTTCTTTCTTTCTCTCTTTCTTTTCATTCTTTCTTTCTTGCTTGCTTTCTTGCTTTCTTTCTTTCTTTCTTTCTTTCGTTATTTCCTTCTTTCTTTCTTTCTTTCTTTCTTTCTTTCTTTCTTTCTTTCTTTCCTTCCTTCCTTCTTTCTTTCTTTCTGTCTTTTTTTCTTTCGTTCATTCTGTTTTTCATTGTTTATGTATTTCTTTCGTTCGTTCTGTCTTTCATTGTTTCTTTCCGTTTTCTTTCTTCCTTCCTTTCTTTCTTTCTTTCTGTCTTCCTTTCTTCCTGTCTTGCTTCATGCCTTTCTTTCTTTCTTTCTTTCTTTCTTTCCTTTTCTTGCTTTCTTTCTTTCTTTTGTTCTTTCTTCCTTTCTTCCTTTCTTTCTTTCTTTCTCTCTTTCTTTTCATTCTTTCTTTCTTCCTTCATGCCTTTCTTTCTTTATTTCTTTCTTTCTTTCCTTCTTCCTTTCTTTCTTTCTTTCTTTCTTTCTTTCTTTCTTTCTTTCCTTCTTTCTTTCTTTCTGTCTTTTTTTCTTTCGTTCATTCTGTTTTTCATTGTTTATGTATTTCTTTCGTCCGTTCTGTCTTTCATTGTTTCTTTCCGTTTTCTTTCTTCCTTCCTTTCTTTCTTTCTTTCTGTCTTCCTTTCTTCCTGTCCTCCTTCATGCCTTTCTTTCTTTCTTTCTTTCTTTCTTTCTTTCTTTCTTTCTTTCCTTTTCTTGCTTTCTTTCTTTCTTTTGTTCTTGCTTTATTTCTTTATTTCTTTATTTCTTCCTTCCTTTCTTCCTTCCTTTCTTTCTTCCTTTCTTTCTTCCTTCCTTCCTTTCTTTCTTTCTTCCTTCCTTCCTTCCTTTCTTTCTTCCTTCATGCCTTTCTTTCTTTCTTGCTTTCTTGCTTTCTTTCTTTCTTTCTTTTCTTTCTTTCTTGCTTTCTTGCTTTCTTGCTTTATTTCTTTCTTTTCTTTCTTTCTTGCTTTCTTGCTTTCTTGCTTTATTTCTTTCTTTCTTTCTTTCTTTCTTTCTTTCTTTCTTTCTTTCTTTCTTTATTGCTGTCTTGCTTTGAGGCTTTCTTGCTTTATTTCTTTCTTTCTTTCTTCCTTTCTTTCATTCTGTTTTTCGTTGCTTATTTCTTTCTTTCGTTCGTTCTGTCTTTCATTGTTTCTTTCTTTCTTCTTTCTTCCTTCCTTCCTTCCTTCCTTCCTTTCTTTCTTTCTTTCTTTCGTTCTTTCTTTATGTATTTATTTATTTATGCCTGCCTGCCTGCCTGCCTGCCTGCCTGCCTGTGTCTGTCCCAGTCTTCTGGTTTATGCTTTCTTGCGCACGTGCGTGCGTGTGCCTGCTCGCGTGCTTCCTTGCGTCCCTGCTTCCTTCCTGCCTTCTTTCTGTCCATCCTTCTTTCCTTCCTTGCGTGCTTGCTTGCTTGTCTTGCTTTTGTGTGTGCGTGCTGTTGTGTGTGCGTGCTTTTGTGTGTGTGTGTGGCGTGTGTGTGTGTGCGCTTGCCTATTTGTTTGCATGTGTGTGTGTGTGGGGGGTTGTTTGTTTCTTTCTTTATTTGTTTGTTTGTTGGTTGGATTGATTGTTTGTTTGGTTGGTTGGTTGGTTGTGTTTGCGGGCTGGTTGGTTTGTGTGTTTGTTTGTTTGTTTGCGTGGTTGTTTGTCTGTCTGTCTGTTTGTTTGCTGGTTTGTTTGTTTGTTTGTTTGTTTGTCTGTTTGATTGTTTGCTTGTCTGTTTGTTTGTTTGGTTTTGCTTGCTTGCTTGCCTGCCTTTTTGCCTTGATTGTTTGTTTGCTTTGTTGAATGTTTTCTTGTGCGTTTGTTTGTTGGGTTGGTTGAGTTTGCCTTGGTTGGTTGGCTGACTTGATTGAGTTTGGTTTGCTTGATTGGTTGGTTGGTGGGTGATTGATTGATTGATTGATTGATTGATTGATTGTTGCTTGCTTGCCTTGCTTGCTTGATTGCCCTTGCTTTGCTTGCTTGCTTGCTTGCATTGCTTGCTTGCTTGCTTGCCTTGCTTGCCTTGCTTGCTTGCTTGACTCATTTGTGTTGCTTGCTAGTTTGTTAGTTTGTTTGTATGGTTGTTGTTTTGTTTTTGTTGTGTTTGTTTTTGTTTGTTTGCTTGCTAGCTTGAATTGTTTTTGTTGATTTGGTTCTTTTGTTGGGTTTGTTTGTT